CGGCCATCTCAAAAACGTCTGGCCCTCAGTGGCTCAAGAAGAGGGCTCTTTTTCGGTTTGCAGAGAGTCCTTGTATCTCACTTGCTTCCAGGGAGCACTCGAATCTGGTCAGGTACGACCCCCACTTCTCTCGGGTTGGATCGAAGGGTTTTGGCGGGATGTAGGCAGACATCGCAGTATGTGTCCGTAGTCCGCTCGTCACCCTGGCTGAAAGTCAGAGCTCTTTTTGATTTGCTTCTTGTGGCCTCATTCCCATCCTCGTCGCCAATGTTGTAGCACGGGAATAACGAGAGGCCCAAGCAAGCTAGTGACAACAGTTCTTTAATTCAGGGTGAGACTTCAGCAAAGAAACACAGGCAACAGCCCTCCTTATATACAGTTCTGAAATAACCGTTAACCAATCACAAGTATTCCTGCATTTGAATTTCCCGCACAAAATAGATACATATATAACATTATTATTGATACTTGATAAATATTTTACAATAAAACATTTTCCCAAAAACAAAAACAAAATCTGGCTTATTGTGAGAACTAATGATGATGCACGGACTATATTGGAATTTCTGACTTCCTCTGGCATCTCTATTCCTTAAGAGCTGTGGTGGTGGCGCAGTGGTTCGAGTGCTGTACTGCAGCCTCTGGGAGGGCGAAAACAGCCTCCCCAGGCTCTGGAGGCCCTCTGGAGGCTAGAAACAGGCCCATTTCCTGACTTCCTGAACTTTTGGTAGGTCCGTTTTTGCCCTCCCTGAGCCTCTGCGCACACCCTGCTCTTACCTGCATCCAAAACTGGCTGTGTGGGGACTCCCTGGAGCGCGTGGCAGGGTGGGTAGGGCAGGATATTTGGGGGTTCTCCAAACTGCACAGAATCTTAGCCAGAGGTTCTCCCGAACCCCTGAGAACCCTCAGCAGCCCACCCCTGCACCCATCTCAGCAAATGAATCTGGGAAGATCACCGTTCTGAGAATCCAACAAAATGCAGTTGATCATGTTTCTGTATGAATCCCACAGAAGGCCAATGGATTTAGCTGAGTTATTCATGGATACCCCAAATTAGCCTCACTGCAGCCCTGTGATGTGAGAAATGAATGGACATAGATGCATCTCCTCCAACCTGATGAGCTTCAGGCTTCAGTGTAGATTTGAACCCATCACGTTCAAGGACAATGATCCTTTACTGTCTGCTCCATATCCACTTTCCTCTATTCTTAAATGCCCTTCTCTGTAGGTTGCCCACTTAGCCTAAGAGCAAAAAGTCAAAGTATTTGCAATAGTTCCACTTTCTCCCATTCCTACTTGCCCCCACCAGCTCGGCTCCCAATCAAAAACCTCTGTTCACAAATTAAAACCATAGCATCATGTCCAGAATGTGTTGAGTAGAATTGTTTCAGGAAGGACAAAGAGGTCAGGTCTGTAAAAGGGGATTATTCATTTGTCAACACAAATGATGTTTACCGATGAATATCTGCAGCACATCACATCTTCTCTCTGAATCGCACACTGTACTTTTGTTCTGTCACTAAGGCCCTCAGGCCAAATGTCTCCAGGAAGAAGCAAGACACGAAGGAGGAGACACGTTTGTTTTGCTGGCACAACTTAACAGTTGACGTGTCGCTATTTCATGTATTAATGATCATTTAACAAAATGGCCCAGAGGAATTTCCCAATCTTCTCTTCTGCTTTGTGCTCCCTGGATAGATGACCTTCAGATGACCTACGTGGAGGTTTAGGTGAAACAGAAATCAGAGTGTCAGCAGTTGCCAACATTGGGTGGCATGTGGCCACTCAAGTCAATATTGTTCCGGGATCAACCTTAGTCAAATGGGATTGGAGGAGAACCAAATGAATAGGGCCAATGAGGAAACAGAACCAACAGCATGTGACGCCAAGACTCTCTTCGGATTATGTTTAAATTCCCCCCTCTGAGTCAGCTTGCTCACTTTCTCCTGAAGCTCTGGACAGGTGCTTGGAAGCTCATTTCTTTCATCTTGCTGGAATTGTATAACTGCACAAGGACCCTTTGTGAGACTTCAGTCTGACTTTCACAATGGGGTCCACCATCTACTTTCTCCTGTTGGGGTTCATCTTCCCTGGACACAGCGTCCCTCTGAGCCCTCAAAAAGGTGAGTTCTCCCCTCTTTCTTTGCACTTTCTTTGGTTGAGTATGGAGATTTTTTTCCTTAGGATTAGAGGTTTCTCAACAATTCTTTTTCTTTCATATATATATGTGTGTGTGTGTCTGTATACACCTCTGTCTGGTTGACAATCTTAACTGGGGCTTCTTTTTGGGGTAGGGCTTATATTACAAGCATCCTGAAAAATCATGCTAGGACAGTGCTCACCTCTGTTTTAAAGCCGAAGAGCCAGTGCTGTCCGAAGACGTCTCCGTGGTCATGTGGCCAGCATGACTAAATGCCAAAGGCCCACGGAACGCTGTTAGCTTTCCACCAAAGGTGGTCCCTATTTTTCTACTTGTATTTTTTACGTGCTTTCGAACTGCTAGGTTGGCAGAAGCTGGGACATTTAATGGGAGCTGACCCCATTACGTGGCACTAGGGATTCAAACCGCTGAACTGCCGACCTTTCGATTGACAAACTCAGCATCTTAGCCACTGAGCCACCACATCCCTTACACACACACACACACACACACACACACACACACACACACACACATTGTCAGCGTTTCAGAAAATCCCAACTCCAAGTAAAGACATGGAAGCAAGGATTTTCCAAAGTTCTTTTTACTAGAATAGATAAACTGGCACATCGGAAGTGTGGAAAGGAGGTTGGCACCTTCTTTCATATGTGGTGGTCCTGCTCAGAGACAAAAAAGTTCTGGACAAAAATACGAACTTGGCTGCGGGAAATAGTGGAAGAAGATATAAAATTATCTCCAGAAATTTTCTTACTAGGAATGATGGGAGATGGACTCTCTAAGGACAAGACACAATTGATTACACATATTATAACAGCGGCCAGATTAACTTTTGCAAAATACTGGAAAGATAAACAAATACCTCCAGAGATGACAATAATAAATAAAATTTTGGAATGTGCAGAAATGGCAAAATTAACCAGTATGCTTAAAGATGATGAGAATTCAAAATTTAAGGCAGTATGGGAAAGGTGGTATAAATGGTGGAATAATAGAACAAGACTATAAGGATATGCCTATTTCTAATAATGATAGATTTGAAGATACTTGTTGTGTATATACTGTATATATGTAATCGCACAATACCTCAGATGTTACCTGAGATTTGATATTTTCTTTTTAAAAAAACCTTTTTTTAAAAAATCAATAAAGTATATTTAAAAAAAAAAAGATAAACTGGCACATCTGGGAAAACCCGAATCTGAAAGGTCTGGGTTTTCCCTCAGTAAATCAAAAAACCCCAAACCATCCCCTCACTCCTCAGTCGATCACATGCTCCAATCAACATCCATCCCATCTCGACTCAGCACTCCGACCACTCCTTCTCCAGATGCCGGATCACCTTAACCAACAGGAAGAATGCTATTATGTCTACAGTCAACCCCTCTACTAAATCCTCCTTCTTACTTTCCCAGACAAGAGAAGGTGGCAGCCTGGAAGCTTCCCACCTAATATGGCTTCCAAAGCTGACATATATACAAACACACACACACATATCTATACATATCTATACATACATTTACATTTACATTTACATTTACATTTACATTTACATTTACATATACATATACATATACATATACATATACATATACGTATACATATACGTATACATATACATATCTATTTTCTTACTTCTTTGTAGGATTTATGTGTGTTTTTCCTCTAGCCAGGAAAAACCTGCGGATCAAATCTCACCGTCTCAAGGTTAACTCAGCCTTCCATTCTTCCTAGGTGGATAAAATGAGGACCCAGATTGCTGGGGGCAATATGCTATTTAGTATACTGTCTTTGTTGTAAGCCGCCCAGAGTCCTCGGAGAGTGGGCAGCATAGAAATTCGAAAAATAAACAACTAAACAAATAAATAAATACATACATATACATACGTACGTACGTACGTACGTACATACATACCAGTGGTGGGTTCCTCCTGGTTCGGTCCGGTTCGGCCGAGCCGGTAGCGGTGACGATATGACGTCACGGAACCGGTTCTCCCCCCCGCCCTCCCCTCCCCCCCGCCCTCCCCTCCACCCCCACCCATTTTATCTTACTTTTTATTTGGTCCCACCCCCAATCTATTGCTGCCTCCTGAGTCCCAGCTGATGACTAGAGGGAAAAAAACTGTTTAAACTCTTGCTATGGGGCTTCAAAGGGCCGTCCTACAGCTGATCAGTGTTAAAAGCAAACAAATGAGTCAGGTCGTAAGTGCGAGGACCTTCCAGAAATGACTCTGACCAGCTAGCCATGCCTACCTAGTCACATGACCTCCAAGCCACACCCACAAAATAAGCCACGCCCACAGAACCGGTAGTAAAAAAATTTAGAACCCACCCCTGATACATACATACATACATACATATATTGCGAACTATCCTAAAAATACGAATTCCAGGTGTAGCCATAAAAGAAGAGACAGACATCGCGATCTCTGGAACTTAAAATATATTAACCACTGACCTTTCGTTAGCCTCTGCTAACAATGTTAGGGTGTAAAAAACTACCATTGAGGAGATATTAGCCATTATACATCATTGATCAATTTGGCCATTGTGCCCGTGATCGGCTCATCTACCCGCCCTCCCACCTATAATTAACTCTGTCGGTTTTACTTCAGGCATGTTAATCGATGGAGGCTTAGCTGCTGTTGCTTCCTCCCCTTATTGTGCACCACTTGGGTTGCCCATCCCTAGGGAATAACGCTGAGCTGGCAGCTATTGCGTTAATGGCATTCTATTCTATTCTATTCTATTCTATTCTATTCTATTCTATTCTATTCTATTCTATTCTATTCTATTCTATTCTATTCTATTCTATTCTATTCTATTCTCTGCTCTGCTCTGCTCTGCTCTGCTCTGCTCTGCTCTGCTCTGCTCTATTCTACTCCAATTCCAGTTGACCAATATACTCTGACATTCTCTTCACTAGACTAGCCAGGCCCACTTCCTGCAACCATTCATCGTATGTTTTAGCCTCCGGTCCCCTCATCATCCTGGTTGCTTTTCTCTGCACTCTTTCTAGAGCCTCAACATCTTTTTTTATAGCGTGGTGACCAAAACTGGATGCAGTACTTTAGGTGTGATTTTACTAAGGCTTTATAGAGTAGTGTTAGTACCTCACTATCACAGTTGTTGAGGTTGAAGGAAAACGCAAATGATGGAACTGCATGGTTCAGAATTAGAAAGATGCCAATTTGGAAATAACTTATTTTCCAAAGCTCCAGAAGGCAAGAGAAGAAACAATGGATGGAAACTCATCAAGAAGAGAAGCAACCTGGAATTAAGGAGAACCTTTCCTTCCAATTCAATTTCAATTAATGAAGATTAACAGAGTTGGAAGGGACCTTGTAGGTCATCTAGTCCAACCTCCCACCCAAGCAGGAGACCTTACACCCTTTCTTACAGATGGCAGTCCAATTTCTTCTTGGAAGCCTCCATTGATGAAGCTCTCACAACATCCAGAGGCAACTTCTGTTCCATCGGTTGATTGTTCTCCCTGTCAGAAAATTCCTAGGTTGAATCTCTCCTTGTTCAGTTTCCATCCATTATTCCTTGTCTGGCCTTCAGGTGCCTTGGGAAATAGCTTGACCCCTTCCTCTCTGGGGCAGCCCCTTAAATATTGGAACACTGCTATCATACCCATAGTGTGCGCGCTTACATTTGCGAACTAGTAACGAAGGTAAGTGATTACCATCTCTGCCTCGAGGACCGACCGGTTTGATCGCCTTGCAGTCCAAGGGACTCGCAGGAGTCTTCTCCAGCACCAGAGTTCAAAGGCCTCAATTCTTTGGCGCTCAGCCTTCCTTATGGTCCAACTTTCACAGCCATCCATTGCAACTGGGAAAACCATAACCTTGACTCTACGCACTTATGATGGCAGGGTGATGTCTCTGATTTTTACTGTGCTGTCTAGATTTGCCATAGCTTTCCTCCCCAGGAGCAAGCGTCTTTTAATTTCTTGGCTGCAGTCCCCATCTACGGTGATCTTGGATCCCAGGAAAATAAAACCTGTCACTACTTCCATTTCTTCCCCATCTATTTGCCAGGAATTGAGAGGGCCGGGTGCCATGATCTTAGTTTTTTTAATGTTGAGTTTCAAGCCAAATTCAAATTCAAATCTTTATTGTCAGTGCACAACATATGTACAATGAGATTGGTCGAGCTCCCTCAGTGCGCCCCCCCCTCAACACAATACAGCTCACAGTGAAGACAGAAAACCCCTAACCCAATAAATCATATTAACAAAACACCCAGTCCTATTGCACCAGTGTGAACATGTTACACATTGCATCGGCCCTGCAGTCCATCATACTACGTAGTTATGATGCTATTTCTCATTCAGGAGTCCGACAGCCCACGGATAAAAACTGTTCTTCAGCCTGTTTGTGCGGCTACCTATGCTTCTATATCTCCTTCCCGATGATAGGAGGGTAAAGAATTGCCGACTAGGGTGAGAGTCTTCCCAGCTTTTGCACTCTCCTTCTTCACCCACATCAAGAGGCTCTTTAGTTCCTCTTCACTTTCTGCCATTAGAGTGGTATCATCTGCATATCTGAGGTTGTTGATATCTTATTTATTTATTTATTAATTAATTAATTAATTTATTTTATTTCTATACCGCCCTTCTCCTGAAGGACTCAGGGCGGTGTACAGACTAATTAAAAACACAAAGACAGACAAAATTTAAAAATAATTAAAATTATTAAATAATAGGCCCAATTTATAAAACCCTGAATTTAAAATCCCATTTAAAACCAATTAAAATCTTTATATTGATAGCCCAGCCTGGCGGAACAATATGGTTTTGAGGGCACAGCGAAATACACGGAGATCAGAGATTTTGCGAATTTCTGGGGGGAGTTCATTCCACAGGGCTGGGGCTCCCACAGAGAAGGCCCTCCCCCTGGGTGTCGCCATCTGACATAATTTGGCCGATGTCACCCTGAGGAGACCTCTCTCTGGGAGCAGACTGGCCGATGGGAGGCTACTGGTGGCAGAAGATGGTCTCGAAGGTATCCAGGTCCAATGCCATAGAGCGCTTTAAAGGTGGTAACCAACACCTTGAATCGCACCCGGAAGACCACTGGGAGCCAGTGCAGCTCACACAGGAGGGGTGTCACATGGGCACAACGAGTTGTGCCCATAACCACCCGTGCGGCCGCATTCTGGACCAGTTGGAGCCTCCGGGTGCTTTTCAAGGGGAGCCCATGTAGAGAGCATTACAATAGTCCAACCGGGAGGTAACAAGGGCATGAGTGACCGTGCGCAGGGCGTCCCGGTCCAGAAAGGGCTGCAACTGGCGAATCAGGTGAACCTGATAAAAGGCCCCCTGGCCACGGCTGTCATATGCTCTTCTAAAGACAGCCGTGCATCCAGGAGGACACCCAGATTGTGAGCCCTCTCTGTGGGGGGGCAAAGATTCACCCCCAATAGTCAGCGATGGCACCTGCTGACTATATCGGGGTGCCGGAAGCCACAGCCACTCAGTCTTGGAGGGGTTGAGTCTGAGCCTATTTTTCCCATCCAAACCCGCACGGCCTCCAGGCAGCAAGACATCACATCAAGGGCATCGTGGGGTGGTCTGGGGTGGAGATGTACAGCTGAGTATCATCAGCGTACAGATGGACTCTCACCCCAAAACCACGGATGATCTCACCCAGCGGCTTCACCTAAATGTTGAACAGAAGAGGCGAGAGGACCGACCCCTGCGGCACTCCCCATGCAAGGCGCCTTGAAGTCGACCTCTGCCCCCCTGTCAACACGAACTGCGAACGGTCTGAGAGGAAGGAGGAGAACCACCGCAAAACGGTGCCCCATATCTTAATGAATCTTAATTTCATCTTGTGATTTATCTAGCCCGCCTTTCTCACGATGTGCTCTGCATATAAGTTAAATAGGCAGGGCGACAGTATACAAGCCTTGCTGAAATCCTTTCCCAATTTTGAACCAATCAGTGGTTCTGTGTCCAGTTCTCACTGTTGCTTCTTGATCCGCATATAGGTTTCTCATTGTCTCTAATCATGGATATTTCTTTTGTTCTCTCTCTCTCTCTCTTTTAACATTTTATTTATACATTTGTTTTTAACATACGTAAGTGCTTAGCAAACAGTGTATTATCTGGGTCAATTTCCTTATACATAATCATGATTTCCAATTTCTAATTTCTCCCTCCTGTTGTCTAACCATTGATTAAACAAATCCCATGTTAAAAAGTATCTTCTTTATCCTTTATCTTTAATGTCAACCTATCCATTTCTGCACAATCTAGTATTTTTTAAAATTATATTTTCTTCTGTAGGCGTTTCCTCATTTTTCCCAAAGTGGTGCAAATGCAATTCTCGTGGCTGTTCTCCCTCTTGATGGCCTGTGCCTAATTTATGTTTTAGAATTTTAAAATTTATAATTGATATATCCACAGGTCCCCAATATCAAGAGTACATTTTTTCCCCTACCCAAAAATAGCATGTAAGGGATAAAAGAACCTCACACTGCACTACATTCATCAGGTTCTTAGCTACACCCCAAGGTGCTTTTTCAAGAGGTGGCTGGACTTTCTGGTTTTTCTTTGAAGACATTTTGCTTCTCATCCAAGAAGCTTCTTTGGCTCTGAAGAAACTTCTTGGATGAGCTGAAGAAGCTTCTTGGATGAGAAGTGAAACATACAGAGAGAGATACAGAGAGAGGGTGAGAGAGAGGGAGGGGGGAGAGAGATAGAGAGGGAGAGAGAGGGGAAGATAGAGAGGGAGAGGGGGAGAGAGATACACAGGGGGAGAGGAAGAGGGGGAGAGAGAGATACAGAGAGAGGGGGAGAGAGGGGGAGAAAGAGGGAGAGGAGGAGAGATATACAGAGAGATACACAGAGAGAGGGGAAGATAGAGAGGGAGAGGGGTTGAGAGAGACATAGAGAGATATGGAGAGAGGGTGAGAGTGGGGAGAGAGAGACAGAGAGGGGAGAGAGAGAGGGGAAGATAGAAAGGGAGAGGGGGGAGAGAGACAGAGAAATACAGAGAGAGAAGGGGGAGAGAGAGGGGAAGATAGAGAGGGAGAGGGGGAGAGAGAGGGAGAGGGGGGAGAGAGACAGAGAGATACAGAGAGAGAGGGGGAGAGAGAGGGGAAGATAGAGAGGGAGAGGGGGAAAGAGAGTTACAGAAAGAGAGACAGGGAGAGGGGGAGAAAGAGAGACATAGATACAGAGAGAGAGGGGGGAGAGAAAAGGGTTTTGTGGTTCCTGGTTCTCTGCCCTAATGACCGGCTGGGTAGGCATGGCTGGGGGTGTCATCATGTGACTGGTGGAAATGTGTGATGTCGAGTTGGCCACGCCCACCCAGGTTTTGTGGCGCCCAGTGTTTTTTTTCCCCTGTGGGAAATGGGTCCAAATGGCTCTTTGAGTGTTTAAGGTTGCAGACCCCTGCTCGAAGCTGACGATCTAATAATCTTTGTTCCATTGCCAAAGAGAAAATGCCTTCAACATTTAAGTGTGGCCGCCCCAAGCAGCAGTTACGGTTAAACACGATAAAGAATGTGCGCTAAATATTCTCCTGACTCCTTTTCCTTTTCTTTCCCGCCGTTCAAATAGAAAGCCAAGCACCTCTTCTCTCTACATCCTCCCACCTCCAGCAGAACAACTGAATTCGCAAGAAGTACTCAGTCTCACATGCCTCATTGAAGGTTTTTATCCTAGAGACATCTTTGTGAAATGGCTCCAGAATGGGCAACCGGTCAGTGAATCAACATACCACACTGGCCCACCCAATTTACAGTCCAACACACCCGAACAGTATTTTGCCTATAGCAGGTTGACCATTAGCAAGCGGGAATGGAATACTGGCGATATCTTCTCTTGCCAGGTGGCCCATGAAGCCTTACCATTCCACGTCATTCAGAAGACCATTTGCTGTTCTTCTGCCCACTGATGTCTGACTCCGAAGGTAGCTGACAACTGTCAGATGGCCCTGGCCCCATCTCTGCCTCTGATGTAGAGCACTCATCAGAGCCTTCCCTAGACTCCAAGACTGGCCCATGTTCCTCCCCAACCTCCTCACTGTCTGAATCTGTTGCCAGATCCGCTGGCCACTGGCGGGCCACAACATGTTCAATTCCTCTTCAGCTTCTTGGATGAGAAGTGAAACCTTTTCAAAGAAAAACCAAAAAGTCCAGTTGCCTCTTGAAAAAGCACCTTTGGGACAATCATGACCTGGATGACTTAGAATCTCCCTAGACCGGGAGGGGAAACTTTTCTTTCTGGCTCAATTGGAGCCGGTGGTGGCACAGTGGTTAAAATGCAGTATTGCAGGCTTGCTCACTGCTGACTGCCAGGAGTTTGGTCTCCTGACTGGCTCCAGTTTAACTCAACCTTTCATCCCTCGGAGGCCCATAAAATGAGGACCCAGATGGTTGAGGGCAATATCCTGACTCTGTAAATTGCTTCGAGAGGACCGTTAAAGCACTATGAAATGGTATATAAGTTTAAGTGCTATGGCTATTGACTTATATTTAGAATAGAATAACAGAGTTGGAAGGGACCTTGGAGGTCTTCTAGTCCAACCCCCTGCTTAGGCAGGAAACCTTACACCACTTCAGACAAAAGGTTATCTAACGTCTTCTTTAAAACTTCCAGTGTTGGAGCATTCACAACTTCTGGAGGCAAGTTTTTCCACTGATTTAATTGTTCTAACTGTCAGGAAATTTCTCCTTAGTTCTAAGCTGCTTCTCTCCGTGATTAGTTTCCACCCATTGCTTCTTCTCCTGCCCTCAGGTGCTTTGGAGAATAGCTTGACTCCCTCTTCTTTGTGGCAACCCCTGAGATATTGGAACACTGCTATCATGTCTCCCCAGTCCTTCTTTTCATTAAACTAGACATACCCAGTTCCTGCAACCGTTTCCTATGTTTTAGCCTCCAGTCCTCTCATCATCTTTGTCGCTCTTCTCTGCACTCTTTCTAGAGTCTCCACATCTTTTTTACATCGTTGTGACCAAAACTGCATGCCATATTCCAAATGTGGCCTTACCAAGGCCTTATAAAATAGTATTAACACTTCATGTGATTTACTAAACTCAAAAGCAGCTCCAGTATAGATCAGATCAAGAGCCTGTTGGGTGGGGAAGAAATGAGAGTTGACTAAGGAACTGACATTAATTTTTTTATCCTTAGGTGGAAGTGATTGTCCCTCTGGAGATATTAATGTATATATTCTGCCCCCAACACCAAGAGCCTTGTACATTGATAGAAATAGCAAGATCAGCTGTGTTGTGAACAATCTGCAAAATGAACAGGGGTTGAAAATTACCTGGTCTCGGGAGAAGAATGGACACCTGAATCCTGATCCAATTGAAACGAGAGAAGAACCAAATGGTACCTACACTGTTGAGAGTAGACTCAGCGTCTACTCTCACGACTGGGAATCGGGAGAGGTTTTCACCTGTGTGGTGGAACATCCATCCTTTGTTACCCCTGTCACAAAGACAATTTCCGAGACCAGAGGTAAGGAGGAAATTAGATTGTTCTCCCTCAGGGGGACTAATGGACTTGTTTTCATTTGTGCCAAGACGTTGTAGGACAATCTCTGTAACATATGGTGTGTGATGCAAGCTTGGAGACATGAAAAGGGCTGGCATGTTGTGTCCGGCCAACAGATCTGGCAGCAGATTTGGAGGGTGAGGAGGTTGGGGAGGAACATGGGCCAGTCCTGGAGTCTGGGGAGGGCTCTGATGAGGGCTCTGCATCAAAGGCAAAGAGGGGGCCAGGGCCATATACCAGTTATCAGCTGCCTTCGGAGTCAGACATCAGTGAGGCAGATGAACAGCTGGAGCCTGTTCCCAGTGTGCACATGTGCAGAGCTGCCAGGAGAAGGGAACAGCTAAGGAACAAGGGTTGACTTGGGAGTAAGGCCACAGGTGAACGATGAATGGCCCCTCCCAGAGGGAATAAAAGAGGAGCGAAAGGGAGTGGAGTTTGCAGGAAACAATTAGTTCATTCCTGCATTCTTGCGAAGTGTTGCGGCGTCTGAAAGGTATCGGCCTGGCCACTCTCCAAGCCTGATAAAGGTCAGTAATTGTGAACTGTATTGAAAGACTGTGGGAGAAGAAAGACTTTGCTGGAGAGGAATTCAGTGTAAATGAAAAAATAAGAGGGGTTTATCAAGACGAGTCCTTGGCTTCGTGCTGCCGGGAAAGCCTAGGTCAGAACATGGCAGCAACAATCCAGAATATTTATTTATTTATTTATTTATTTATTTATTTATTTATTTATTTATTTATTTATTTATTTATTAGTTCAATTTATATGCCACCCTTCTCCGGAAACTCAGGGCAGCTTACAATGCGTTAAGCAATAGCCTTCATACTTTTGTATATACCTGCTTTTGCCCCCCTCCCCCAAGCGGTGTTCTTTTTTATACAAAGTCAGCTTACTGCCCCCACAATCCAGCTCCTCATTTTACCTACCTTGGAAGGATGGAAGGCTGAGTCAACCTTGAGCCTGGTGAGATTTGAACTCACAGTAATTGCAGGCAGCTGGCAGCTAAGTGCTACTTTAATAGCACTTTAATCCGCTGCTCCACCAAGGCCTCTTGGTGGACAGATTAGTACACCAAGGATGTTGGATGGATTAGTACACCAGGATAACAAACTTCACAATTGGCTTTGCATCAGTGTGGGCCTCTAGTCATAGAATGGCCCCGCAAACCATGGTTTTGTGGTATAAGTGAACAATGGCTAAAAGAATCATAGTTTAACAAGAGAGGTCAACCATTCATTGATGCCACTAATTTGTCCTATTTTCTAACATTGTTGTGTTTCTTTCCTTAAACTTTACCAAGGCAAGCGCAGTGCACCCAAGGTCTTTGTCTTCCCTCCTCACCGAGATGAGCTCAACCCAGGCACAACGGTGTCTCTTATCTGCAGGGTAACTGGTTTTTACCCAACTGGATCTGAGCAACATATCCCCAGGGCTGACTGGGAAACCGGTGACTTCATTTGTGTGATGTCCACAAAGCCCTCCCCATGAAGTTCACCCAGAGGAACATCTCAAAAACCCAGGGTAAAAAATGAACCAGCTGCTCCGTTTCAATCCATCCTAGATTTGCCTCTAGCACTGTCAGACCAAACTGTTCATGATTTCCCAGCTCACCCATTTCACATCTGGATGAATAAAAAGCAACCCATCTCAGAAATACCTCAGATTCTGTTCTTTTCTCCTTAGGGGTGAGATCTAGAAGGGGGAAAAGGGGACAATCTGTCTGAAAAAAAAAGAGTCAAGGTTTAAGGCTGGTTTATTGTATTGGTCAGTTGGCTGGTTGGTTGTTTCGTTGTTTGGTTGTTTGGTTGGTTGGTTGTTGTGATTTCTACAGCTGCCCATCTCAGCAAATGAATCTGGCCGAGTCACTGTTTTGATAATCCAACAAAATGACATCCATCATGTTTCTGTATGAATCCAATGGATTCAGTGGTGGGTTGCTACTGGTTCTCCCCGGTTTGGGAGAGCTGGTAGCGGAAATCTTGATAGGAGAGCAAACCGGTTCACTCTAAACGTTAGCTGAGCCCTCCCGCCCACCTGTGCACTATACCTACTTTTATTCCTTTGTTTTTAGCTCAGTTGTAAGGCGTGGGAGAGTGGATTGCCATGCCTCAGCTGATTTTTTGCTCAATGCGCTTGCGCGAAGCACAAGTTTGGCAATCGCTAACCGGTGGTAAAACTGATTAGAACCCACCACTGCATGGATTTAGCTGGGTTAGGGGGAGGTACCCCAAATTAGCCTCACTGCAACTCTGTGCTGTGAGAAAAGAATGGAATAGAGGTATCTCCTCCAACCTGGTGAGCTTCAGGGTTCAATGTAGATTTGAACCCACCACGTTCAAGGACAATGATCCTTTACTGTCTGCTCCATATCCACTTTCCTCTATTCTTAAATGCCCTTCTCTGTAAGTTGTCCATTTAGCCCAACAGCAAAGAGTCCAAGTAGCCAAAATACATGTAATTGTAATTACGTACTGAAAAATGTTCCATCATTGCAGATCCAGCTATGTCCCTTGGCCAAGTTCATCTTAGTCACAGTTTCTCCATGGACCAATCAGTTGGGGCAAAGTGACACTGTTCTCTGCAGGTCTATAATCTACACTTAATTTCAATATCAAGGATTCATTTTGTTGTTGTTGTTAGTTGCGAAATCGTGTCCAACCCATCGCGACCCCATGGACAACATTCCTCCAGGCCTTCCTGGAGGATTCATATCTAATACAAAAAAAAAACCCAGAGAATGCTCAAGGCAGAATCTCAATAAGCTATTATAATGTACAGATGCTATGATCCATTCTAAAAAAAATAAATAAATAGAAACATCACACTCCAATAAGGTCCAGTAAGGGAGAGTTCTGAAGGCTCAACTATATCAGGGAATGCTCTGAATTTGCCAAATAGTTGATACAACAAGTAGTAAATATAAAATCAAGGGAGAGAGGGAGGGAATAAATGTTTAATTCAAGTTACTGAACAAGGAGGTTGAGTAATAAGGGAAAATAGATCACAATGGGCATTCAACTCTCAAGATATCCACATTCAGAAATGCAAAGCTACATGGTAGAGAAACAATTGTTCTCCAGAAATACTTCCAAAACTTACCTGATGATCAGGACAAATTAAAATAACAAAAAGCAATCACATTTGTCCTTAAAACGTTCTATCAAAATTCACTGATGGGTTATTCAAAATTCCATAGGAGAGGATACAATCTGTATTAACACAAAAAGGAGACCTTGCCTCAAAACTTTGACATTTCAGATGTCATTTCAAGACAGAATAACAGAGTTGGAAGGGACCTTGGAGGTCTTCTAGCCCAACCACCTGCCCAAGCAGGAGACTCTATGCCATTTCAGACAAATGGTCATCCAATCTCTTTTCAAAAGCCTGCAGTGATGGAGCACCCACAATCTCTACAGGCAAACCATTCCACTGATTAATTGTTCTCATTGTCAAGAAATTTCTCCTTAGTTCTAGGTTTCTTCTCTCTTTTTTTATTTTCAACCATTGCTTCATGTTTTGCCTTCTGGTGCTTTGGAAAATAGATTGTCCCCTTCTTCTTTGTGGCAGCCCCTCAAATATTGGGACACTGTTACCATGTCACCTCTAGTCCTTCTTTTCACTAGCCTAGACATACCCAGTTCCTGCAACCATGTTTTAGTCTCCAGTCCCCTAATCAATGCAGAGACGAGAAAGAGATATTATCCAACACTCAAGAACAAAACAACTGTAGCTTGTTCACTAATCTAAGAAATAGTTCTAAATATATTCCCCCTAGATTTCCTTGGGATCAAAATTTTAACAGAAAATATTCTCTCACCCAGTTCACACACTATTCACCAAAGTCTGGCTCTGCACATGCTTAGATGTTTGCCGGCTGTCGCAGTACTTCATTCAAACACTGCTCCTGCACAAAATCTTATTCCGGCTGCCCCAGCTTCAAAGTGGTCATTTTTAATGGCTGCCGCACCTGCTGCTGGTTCAAAGAACTGCCTCCAACCTTTCGACGAACTTGCCCGTTCCTCTTGATCATCCGAGGCACCTCCCATTCTTCACCCTCCCTACAGGACAGTTCCAGTCCAAAGACCCACCGACAGCAGTTTGTCTGATTGGATTTTCGTGAAGCTTTTGGAACCTGCTATTTTCCAGCCCGTCTCACCGCAACGCTTCCGGTTTCTCTGACAATACCGTTCCACACAAACAGCTGAAAAAACATATAAATATACAAAGACAGTTTTTTTCCTCCTCCAGAAAGAAGAAAATGAAACTAGATAAGTTAACAGTTTTGAAATGCAATGATAATATCACTCAATTATAAAATTATAATACAAAATAAAATAATTACAATTTGCTCATGGTAAATAAATTAGTACATAAATTAGAATAATAAATAAAATATAAAAAGAAAACTTGAGGCGAAGGAAAGGCCAATACCATCTAAAGAATGGAAGGTGTGATTTCTCATTGTGGTGGTGGTGGTGGTGGTGGTGGTGGTGATGATGATGATGATGATGATACTTGGTTGATTATCTAGGATGCTGGCAGCAACCCGTATCAACCATTAGCACCAGTCAATACTATTTGTGACACATTTTTAAATGTTCAGTTGACTGAGTTTCATGTTTAATGAATAAAAGTTGGTAATAATAATAATAATAATAATACCCGTATCAACTGTCAGTGCTAGTCAATAATATTTGTGATACATTTTTAAATATTCATTTGACTGAATCTCATGTTTAATGAATAAAAATATAATAATAATAATATATTTTGAGAAGATACTTGGTTGATAGCTAGGATGCTGGCAGATAGTTCCCAATTTACAACAATGTATTTAGCAACTGCTCAAAGTTACCATAGTGCTCGAAAAAGTGGCTTATGAATGGTCCTCGCAATTCAACTGTCGCAGCGTCCTCACAGTCACATGATCAAAATTTGGTTGCTTGGCAACAGGCATGTATTTATGATGGTTGCAGCATCCCAGGGTCATGTGATCAACTTTCGCGATCTTCCCAGCTGGCTTCTGACCAGCAAAGTCAGTGGGGGAGGCTGCATTTGTTTAACCACCGTGTGACTTCCTTACCTGCATTGATTCGATTAACAGCCATGGCAAAAACAAAAAACAAAAAACCAGTCATAAAATCAGCCATCACCCAAGCTCTAGAAAAATCGGATCACAAACCCAAACTCTGGCTCAGATATGTAGACGACACCTTCATAATCTGGCCACATGGGAAAGAAAAACTGGACAACTTCCTCACACACCTCAACAGCCTACACCCCAAAATGCAGTTCACCATGGAAACAGAAGCTAACAACCAACTTCCCTTCCTGGATGCCAGACCACAGCTGCATCATTAGCCACTTTAAATCCCTCCAATCCATACATGAAGCAAACTGACACCCACCATGATGATGTGGCACGACCACGAACGCGAAGCCAAACAACAGCAATGCAGCTCACCAGCTCAAATCCCCCTGCAACTCAGACTAACACGAGCACAACCAAGCCCCCACCTAAACAGAACACAGTCCCAGTCAATCAGACCACAGCCAACCCTCATCCAATCAGAGCACAGCCAAACCCCCAACCAATCAGAACACACCTCCACCCAATCAGAACACAGCCAAGCCCCCACCCAATGAGTTCACACCCCCACTAGCAATTAAAAAGAAGAAACAGCTGCGATCTCACATTGCTCCTGGAAGCACGAAGCCGAGAACACCAGCCTGAAGATGACGAATGAGACTTCGTCGAAACGTCGCCAAGACACTTCCAATTTTACGTGGGAGAAGACCCGAATAACCAAAGCCATGAAGCCCTCCCCATGAAGTTCACCTAGAGGAACATCTCAAAAACCCAGGGTAAAAAATGAACCAGCTGCTCCGTTTCAATCCATCCTAGATTTGCCTCTAGCACTGTCAGGCCAAACTGTTCATGATTTCCCAGCTCACCCATTTCACATCTGGATGAATAAAAAGCAACCCATCTCAGAAATACCTCAGATTCTGTTCTTTTCCCCTTAGGGGTGAGATCTAGAAGGGGGAAAGGGGACAATCTGTCTGAAAAAAAAGAGTCAAGGTTTAAGGCTGGTTTATTGTATTGGTCCATTGGCTGGCTGGCTGGTTGGTTGGTTGGTTGGTTGATGTAATTTCTACAGCTGCCCATCTCAGCAAATGAATCTGGCCGAGTCACTGTTTTGATAATCCAAAAAAATGACATCCATCATGTTTCTGTATGAATCCAATGGATTCAGTGGTGGGTTGCTACTGGTTCTCCCCGGTTCGGGAGAGCTGGTAGCGGAAATTTTGATAGGAGAGCAAACCGGTTCGCTCCAAACATTAGCTGGGCCCTCCCGCCCACCTGTGCACTATACCTACTTTTATTCCTTTGTTTTTAGCTCAGCTGTGAGGCGCAGCAGAGTGGATTGCCATGCCTCAGGTGATTTTTTGCTCAATGCCCTTGCGCGAAGCACAAGTTTGGCAATCGCTAACCGGTGGTAAAACTGATTAGAACCCACCACTGCATGGATTTAGCTGGGTTAGGGGGAGGTACCCCAAATTAGCCTCACTGCAACTCTGTGCTGTGAGAAAAGAATGGAATAGAGGTATCTCCTCCAACCTGGTGAGCTTCAGGGTTCAGTGTAGATTTGAAC